GGACTTTGGCAACCTCTTTGTTTTTGTTTCTTTGTTTTTTGTTTTTGTTACTCCTCACTGGAGGATATTTTTTCCATTGATTTTTAGAGAGAGTGAAAGGGGGGGATAGGCATAGAGAAAGAGGGGGAAGAGAGAGAAACATTGATGTGAGAGAGACACATCAATTGATTGCCTCCCACATGCCACCCGATGAGGGCTGGGGTTTGAACCTGCAACCCAAGTATGTGCCCTTGACTGGGAATCTAACCCATGACCCTTAGGTGCACAGGCTCTCTAACCACTGAGCCACACTGACCAGGGCCCTGTGTTTGTTTCTATGTATTAGGTACAGCTGCTTTGTCTCCTCAGCTTGGTAGAGTGGCCTAGTGTAGTAGGTGTCCTGTAGACACCTGTAGGGTCAAGTGGCACAGCTTCCCCAATCACCCAAGCTGGGCACTCCTGGTGTATCAACCTCCCCCACACCCCCAATGTAGGCTTTGCACATCCTCCTGTAGTTGAGCCTTGATTGCTGTTGGCATGTCAATGGCAAGGATTTACCCATAGAGGATCAACTGTGCACAGGCCTGCCCCAGAGAGCAGGACTTACTTCAGTGGGGTTTGGTGTCTGTTGAGTCATCCCCCTGAATGTGTCATTTTGGAGGTGGTTGTGTGGTGCTTCAGTGTGGTATGAAGCTGTCCACTGGGTGCACTGGCTCTGAGGCCTCCTGGGAGTTGAAGGCCAAGGTCATCTGCCACCTGTGCTCTGTCCAGGGGCACCCAGCGTGAACTACAAAATGATCTGCATATGGCTGTTACTTGTGCTGGGGTTGAAGCTGCCCCTGTGAAGCAAAGATGCAAACCAAGCCAAACTGGCTGCTGCTAGTTCTGGGTCTGGGGCCACTTAGCAAGAGGGGTGGAGCATGCTAAGACCAGATGCTTACTGTTTGAGAAATTTTAGAAAAGTCTTAATTGTGAGCCAAGACAGGCCATTGGTATGGAAAAGCTACTGGAAACAGCTTGGGTGGCCCTGTAGATTTGATGGGGCCAAGTGTCAGGGAATCACCAGGGCAGGTTTAACAGTGTGAGCCAGATTAATGGAGACTCAGATATGGCAACTGCCTGCCATCTTTGTGGAGGGAGGGCTCATCAAAGGAACAATGGCCTATGCCAGCATTTTGTCTGGAAGAAAATTGCCCCCCCCAGCTCATGCCCCAATTCCAGACACTTTAGTTCCTCCCCATATGTCCCTGGTGCCTTTCAAGCTGCTGCCCCAGCACTGGAGCTTGGAGTGAGTCAGAGTAAGTCTGTGTGTAGGCCCTTTAAAAGGAACTTCCTGGGCCTAGCCAGCGTGGCTCAAAGGTTGAGCATCGACCCATGATTCAGGAGATCATAGGTCAGGGCACATGCCCAGGTTGCAGGTTCGATCCCCAGTGGGGGGCGTGCAGGAGGCAGCTGATCAATGACTCTCTCATCAGTGATGTTTCTCTCTCTCTCTCCTTCCTCTCTGAAATCAATAAAAATATTTTTTTTTAAAAAAGGAACTTCCTGGGATTCCAGCAACCCTCCCTCTCACTCAGGCTCAATTCCCACTGGTTTTTACAGCCAGAAGTTATGGGGGCTTTTGTTCCCAGCACTGGAACCTTGGACTTGGGGGCCAGGTGTGGGCTGGGACCCCTTGCTCCTCAGGAGGGACCTCGGGGGCCTCTCCAGCCAAGATAAACTTCCTGATTTTTATCCTCACGTGGGTGTGGGACCAGCCCATTCCTGGTCTTGGCCCTTTCTACCGGTCTCATGTGGCTTCTTTAAATCCATAGTTGTAGGATTCTGATCAGCTAGGTTTCAGGTGGTTCGCATGATGGTTGCTCTGTAGTTTAGTTGTAATTTTGATATGGTTGTGGAAGCATGCGAGTATCGCATTTACCTACACTGCTCTCTTGGTTGTAAATTTAAAAAAAAAATCAGCTTCATATAGAGAAGGTTTTTGAAAACTGGAAAGTTATTTTTCTCTGTGTATGATCTCCACATGGTTGGAGAGGGGGTATGGCCCAGTGTTGCGTCCTAAGCATGAGTAATATGATAGGAAGCATTATGTGCTTATTTTAAAAAATTTGATAAATAATGAAGAGAATAAAGAAGAAAAAGTCCACCATTATCTCACCACCTACAGATAATCATTGTTTAGGATATAAAAAATATTTACACCTTGTTACCTTGTATACATATTTTTAGTGTGTTGAACTTTTATATATACAATTTTGTGCCTTTCCATTTATATACCAGAGTTTCTCAACAATGGCAGTAACTTTTAGGTTGGGTAAACCTTTGTTGTGGAAGGCTGTTATGTGCCTTGGCAGTATCTCTGACCTCTACCCGCTAGATGCCAATAGCATCTTCTCTCAATTTGTGACAGCCAAAAATGTCTTCAGATATTACCAGATATTCCCTGGGATGGAGGAGGGGGAACAAAATTGTCCCAGATTGAGAACCACTGTTTTATACTTAGTATTACAATATAAGCACTTTCTCATTCTGTTACAAGCTTCATAAGTACCATCTTTAGTAGCTGCGTAATTTTTCTACCGTATATATCATCTTCAGTCTTAATTTGAAGTGTGGCCTTGGCTGTCATTAGTACCCATAGCTTTGCAAAATTATTTTGTGACTAGATAGGTATTTCCTATAATTTACTGATAGTATTTTTTAAAATTACGTTGAACACAAAATTTACTATCTTAACCATTTTTAAGCATACATTTCAGTAGTGGTAAGTGTATTCACATTGTTGTGCAATAGATCTTCATACTGATAGTATTTACTGAAATGCTGTAAGTAATGATTTCTGTTGTTTTTATTTTCATTAAAAAACTACCTTTAAGGTATGTTTGTTTTGTTAAAGAACATGAGAAATCATGGTGTTTTTTTAAAGTATTGCATTTTTTAAACATTACATGAATGCGTTACAAAATAAGTTTAAACTTAATTTATAGAATACATTTTTATAAAATGTTTTATGTCATATTATAGATACCACTGTTTGGAATCATGTCATCAGATTCTGCAGATCCTTTTTACTGGATGAGAGTTATTCTTGCATCCAACAGAGGTATGTACTTCTTTTTTTTTTTGCCTCCCTACTAGTACTGACATCAAATAGATCTGATATTGGAGAAACTATTTTTTGAGTCCATAAGGAGTGGGAGGATATGATAATAGAAACTTATTGCCTGGGACAAGAGACCAATATTTAAATAATTATAGAACTATATGTTTATTTATTTATTTATTTATTTATTTATTTATTTATTTATTTATTTTTAATCCTCACCCGAGGATATTTTTTCCATTGCTTTTCAGAAAGAGTGGAAGGGAGAGGGAGAGGGAGGGGTGGTGGAGAGAGAGAGAGAGAAACATAAATGTGAGAGAGACACATCAATTGGTTGCCCCCCACAAGAGCCCCGACTGGGGCCAGGGATTGAACCTGCAACCCAGGTATGTGCCCTTGGCAGGAACTGAACTCAGGGGACCCTGGGTGGACACTCTAACCACTGAGCCAAAGTGGTTAGGGCTGTTTATTCTAATTTTAGAAATATATTACAGAGTATTGAAGTACACAGAGAATGGAGTGATTAGCACTGTCAAGAGCTTTGGTTCTCAACCCTTTAATTTTCTATTTTTTCCATTTTTTTTAATATATAT